CTGTACAAGGGCTTGTTCTTACAAGGACGTCTCCCTTACCTGTACAGGGCCTGCTCCTAACAAGGATGTTTCACCAACACAAAACATCCCAGTTTTATATAAAGAATATTTAAAATTCTATTGTTCCATGAGTATTTTTTCTTTTTTTAAACATAAAAAATGATTGCTAAAAGGATAACATTTCTCTTATGAAAATGAAGCCTATACCATTTTCCTCAGAGCCAGGGTATGTGTGGACGTTAGAATTACGTATTACACCCACACTTTATGCGTGTTTCTCTTTTCATCTCTCTATGTATAGTTTTTTGTTTGTTTTGTTTTCTGAAGGCAGGGTTTCTCTGAAGATTTGGAGCCTGTCCTGGAACTAGTTCTTGTAGACCAGGCTGGCCTCAAACTCACAGAGATCTGCTTGCCTCTCTGCCTCTCGAGTACTGGGATTAAAGGCATGTGTCACCACTGCCTGTAAAGGGAGCAGCGGGCCGCTTCCCGCAGCCCAGCTCCCAGCTGCCTGGCTAGCTAGCTTATACCCCAAAATAACAACACACAAATTGTATTCATTTAAACACTGCCTGGCCCATTATATCTAGCCTCTTCTTATCTAACTCTCACATCTTGCTTTAACCCATATCTAGCAATCTGTGTATCACCACAGGGTCATGGCTTATCAGGAAGATTCTAACCTATGTCCATTTTGGGCCAGAGCTTCATGGTGTCTGCCTCACTCTGCTTTCTTTCTCCCAGAATTCTGCTCTGTCTACTCCACCCACCTAAGGGCTGGCCTATCAAAAGGCCAAGGCAGTTTCTTTATTTGATCAATGAAAGTAGCAAATGGACAGAAGACCCTCCTACATCAACTGCCCAGCCCTCCATGTACAGTTTTTGTGAGAGGTCGTTTTAGTTTCTTCATTTATAGTACACAAGATAGAAAAGGTAGTTGTTTCCTCACATACTCAGGAGATGAGGCTCAGAAATTTTACCCACTAAAGTTCTTGAAAGTGGACAAGTTGAAAACTTGTAAGTAAGTAGCTTTACATAACAAAATTAAAAATAGGGTGACAACTGATAGCTGGGTTGGACGAGGAGTGTCCGCTGCTTATTTACTCATCAGTAGTGTTTCTCCTTTCTTTCTATGGCTAATCTTCTCAAAGTCTGTCTATCTATCTGTCTGTCTATCTATCTATCTATCTATCTATCTATCTATCTATCTATATTGTTTTTAAAGTAACCAAGGATTGCTTGATTCATCTGTTTTATTGTAGACACCACAAGTCACTCAGAAAGTTGAACTTAATGAAATGATTCAATTTTTTAACTGAGTATGCTTCACATATGTACATTTTGATTGGCATATCCAAGTCAGATAACAAATCTCAATTTTGAAACTTAAAGAAATCAATCTGCTCAAAAACTTTTTAAGCCGATAGTTTGTCTCTTCCAGAGGACAATAACTCTTGGCAGTGACAGCCATCTAGTCATTTCCAGGGACCTCCTTTTTGGAAAGAATATAAGATACCCTTTAATTCCCATTCCAAAGTTTCATCTTAAGAACACTAGATGTCACAGCGGAAAATCTGTCCAAATCAAGGCAGTGACATCTCATGCTACTTGCCCAGAGTACAGAAAGATATTTCTACCCTTAGTTTCTTCATTATCAAAACAAAGATCACAGTGCTTACCTTATAGTACTGTTTTCAAAACAAAATTAAATTTAAAAATATGTAGGTGTAGATTATAAATTCCAAAGTCCATGCAATTTATCCTCATCATTCATGTATGAGAATGGTTCCGTGATTACTCAGTGAAGACTGGTCAAACATTACATAATAGAGTAAACATTTTTACTAAGCATACACTGAGGTGACAATGTGTCAGGGAGCTGGGGACAGCACCATAAATAGAGCATTGCACCATGGAGCAGGGAAGGGAGGGAAGATGAGGACTCCCAAATGGACACCAGGAGTCGCTCCATTTCAGATCTAGCATCTAGAAAACACACCCAAGTCATTCTTCTGGGAGGTGTTTCATGTTCTTCACAGACTTAGACCCAGGGCCAGCTCAAACGTGCCCCAGCCCCTTCAGATGGCCTTTCTCAACCTCAACACCCACTGATATTTAGTCTGCACAGTGTGGTATTGTGAGGGGGAGCTACTTCATGCATCACAGAATGCTTGAGGACATCCCTGGTTCATCCTTACTAATGCCAGCAGTGCCAATGCCCCCAGTTATGACACTAACAAAAGACTCCAAGTGAGAACTATGACCTTAAGATCATGAGAAACCAGAGAAGGTGCTTCCAGAAAGAATGGAATTCATTTAGCTAGGTACCAAATGCTGAATGACTAACCAAGCCTCCTGGAGCCCTCTGCATGTGTTGGCATATTCCTTCTGAGTTTCACCCAGGAGAGATGCTGATTGTTTCTAAGGCCCCCATGTGTGATGTGACAATAACATCATGTCTTTTTGAGCGCTGTTGTATGACAGTTTGTATGACTTTGTTTGTTTATCTGACAGGTTGTATGACGCTCTGATCCTCAGTTCTTAAATGGAGACAATAAATTCTGTTTTGCAAGATCATTGGAAAAATTAAATGAGATAAATATAAAACATACAGCCACAAGGGTCTTGACACTTGTAACATGAGGGGGGCCGGCTTGTCGGGGTATCTGTCCCGCCCAGTGCTCAACAGCTGGCAAGCCCCAAAGGAAAATCAACCACACAGAGATCTCTATAAGTTATAAAGCTGATTGGCCCATTAGGTCAGGCTACTTATTAGTTCTTATAACTTATCTTAACCCATTATTCTGATCTATGTTAGCCACATGGGCTCAGTACCTTTCTCGGTGTGACAGCTTACATGTTGCCTCTTCGGTGGTCTGTACAGGAATGGCTGAGAGAGCTTCTGCTTCCAGAATACTCCCAGTCTCTTTGCTCCACCCCTACTTCCTGTCTGGCTTTCCCGCCTATACTGCCTGCCTGGCCAATCAGTGTTTTATTAAAATATGATTAACAGAATACAGATAATTCTCCCGCACCATTTCCCTCTTTTTTTTTTAAACAAAGGAAAATACCCATAATCCATTTGTTGGGAACGTGGGCGTAGTATTTCAGGCTACTTCCTGCTGGTTGGGGGCGCTGATGATCTTATGGGAACCTAAAGAAAATTTAGAGTTATAATCAAGTCCTGACTGAAGTATCCTGCGAGTCTTGATCATCTCAGGCTGCAGTCTTGAATCAGTTCTGGATGTAGAACTCTGTCATCTGGGCCATCTGTTCCTGTCGATTTCTCAGGTGGCCTCCCTTGGTCAAAGATGATTTTTCTTAACTCTGAATAAATCCATAGCCTCTCATTTTCTGTGGAAACAAAAGCAGAATCTCTTCTCCAAAGTAACATACCTTTTGACTTCAGTTTTGAAGCCAAGGTATTTTCAAAATGTCTATCTTGGGTTAGTTCAGCAGCATTTATAAACAAATGTCTTTTGGTGACTGTTGCTCCATCCTCAGCATTCAAACAATTAAAAGAGAGCATAATAACACACAATATCAAGATTCTCTGTGTATTTTCCATCTTTATGCGGCTTTATTTTACTTCTATTTCTTTTATTTTTACTTTTACTTTTTGAGACAGGCTCTCTGTATATCTTTGTCCTAGAATAACTCTGTAGACCAGACTGTCCTTGAACTCAGAGATCCTCCTGTCTCTGCCTCCCCAGTGCTGGGATTAAAGGTGTATGCTACCACACCTTGAACTCACAGAGATCTGTCTGTCCCTGCCTCCCAGGCATTGGGATTAAAGGTGTGCACTACCACACCTTGAAGTCACAGAGGTCAATCTCTACCTCTGTCCCTTGAAGTCACAGAGGTCAATATGCCTCTGCCTCCCAGGCATTGGGATTTAAGGTGTGTACCACCACACCCAACTACTCTCTTTCTTCCTTTTTTTTACATTAAGAACTTTAACTTTTAGCCTGCATATATTTTTAACACACTGTAAAATATTTAGAGGTTTTCTTCCTCTTTGAATCTCTCTTTACTGTATATCTCTCTTTTTCTGACCACATGAGCCTTTAATTTACTAAGCAATATGGAGAGCAGTGGCTTTGACGGCTAGATCCAACCCACTCCCCAGCTCTCCAGTCTCATGGCTGAGATACCAGCCAGAGCTGTGTTCATTGCCACAACTCTATGGCGTTTCAAGGTCCTTGCCAGCAAGCAAGCTGCAGCATTCTGCTCACAGACCACACTCAGTCAGACTGTCTGCCTGAAAGAGTCAGAGATTACCCTGTCAGGACAGCCCAGAAAGCCGGCATTGTAAAACAGCGCAGTTTTTTTCCTGCTACGACTGAAAACCGAAAAGCATGTGTTCCACTTTTCACCAACACCGTTTAAGTGTTTCGTGGCAGGACCTCTTAATGACCTGCAGGGTTTTGCAGCTAAAGCTGAGTCAGGAAACCTCTCTTAGATGAGAGCCTTGCCTGCCTCTAGCAAGCAAAGTAGACCCAAGAAATTGCTGCTATCAAGAAAACAAGCTTTACTCTATTCTTTCCCAAGCTTTCTCAAGCTTTCTGTGGATTCTGTTATCCACACGTTGGCGCCATATGTAACATGACGGGGGCCGGCTTGTCGGGGTATCTGTCCCGCCCAGTGCTCAACAGCTGGCAAGCCCCAAAGGAAAATCAACCACACAGAGATCTCTATAAGTTATAAAACTGATTGGCCCATTAAGTCAGGCTACTTATTAGTTCTTATAACTTATCTTAACCCATTATTCTGATCTATGTTAGCCACATGGGCTCAGTACCTTTCTCGGTGTGACAGCTTACATGTTGCCTCTTCGGTGGTCTGTACAGGAATGGCTGAGAGAGCTTCTGCTTCCAGAATACTCCCAGTCTCTTTGCTCCACCCCTACTTCCTGTCTGGCTTTCCCGCCTATACTGCCTGCCTGGCCAATCAGCGTTTTATTAAAATATGATTGACAGAATACAGATAATTCTCCCGCACCAGACACTCATTCTTTTGGTGTAATTAATATACCAGGAATCATGCTGGTCACATGGCTCAAGTGGATAGCGGTGCTTACCCCAAAAGCCTCAATGTCAATTTAATGCCCAAAACGCAATGAATGGTAGAAGGGGAGAACCAACTCCATAAAGCTGTACTCAGGTCTTCTTCCACATGTGACATGTGTGCCCACCCCTCCTTCCCCACCTCCCTCTCTCACACACACAAAACACATACACGCACTTTTTTAAAAATGAAATCTTAACAGAAGTCTATCCCGAGTCTATCCACCAGAATGGAGTAGCATAGTTTTGTGGTCCAAAGCTTTTGTGATTGCGTGAAACTTACTGTATCAGAAACTGACACACTGGCTCCCTGACTCAGGCCTCATAAGCAACCAGATTGCTTAACAGATCATGGATATTCAGCTTCCCAGGAACTATGCACATTAAAAATCAGTTAATTGACTTTGTAAGACTCAGCTCTGTAGGTCCACTGGTACTGCTGCTTCGGGCACACTGAGGCTTGGTTGAGTCTGAGGAAAATGTTTTCTGTATTCTGTGTCCTTTAGTTTCTTATAGACATAAATGACAAGATCTGGAAATGTCTCCTGAAAATAACGAGAAGGTTCTCCGATTCTTTCCTTCATACTGAAATAAAACACAGACAGTTAGCCAACTGGCTCTAAGCTCTTTCTCCTTCTTAGAGTATGCCCTGACAGTTGTTCTTGTTTCTATAAAGGGAACAATAAAAACATTGTAATCTGATGAATTAAGATGCTTCCTAACTCTTTAATAACTATGCAATTTAAATTTTATGAGCTTGTTTGTTCATTCATAAAAATGGTAGTAATAGCCAGGTGATGGTGGCACACTTGTTTAATCCCAACACTCAGGATGCAGAGGCACGTGGGTCTCTGTGAACTTTGTGGGCAGCCTGGTCTACAAGAACTACTTCTAGGACAGTCAGGGATGTTACACAGAAAAATCTTTTCTTAAAAAAACAGAAAAACCAAAACCATACAAAAATGGGAAGGGGAGGCAGAACTCACAAGACCCTACCCCGAGATAAATAGTTGATACAGGAAATTAATGGCTGGTGAGAGAGCGAAAATTAGCCTTTTCCAGGAGCAAGACCCCTCTGAGAGGTTCCAGCCCACGTAAGAAGCACTAAACAAAGACACAAATGAGCAACGCTACGTGGACTCAGAAGGTTGTGTTTATCTATACAGATGTATGTAAGCTGCAGCAATCAAAGATGAGGTCATGAATCTGAGAGGGCACTGGGGGAGCACAGGAAGAGTTGGGAGGGGAGGGAAGGGTGGAAATGATGTCAATACAGTACTTATGTATGAAATTTAAAAAACAGTAATAATTAAGGAAAATGGTAATTCAATTCCACAATTCTTTATATACAACCTCTAAATAATAAAAATAAAAACATTCTAAATTGTACTGTGTGTGTGTGTCTGTGTGTACAGCTGACATTTCTTATAACTAATGTGGAGATGTGCTCAACCTTTGGACTCTACAGTTGCTTAATACGGTGGCCCCGTCTTCTGTTCTATTCACACAGAAAACCACTTCTGTTCAGTAGAACTCAGCAGAGCTAAAAAGGAGGATGAGACCCTACTGGGCATGTCTGTAACTGGTTATAAAACACCAGGGACTCAGAGAGATTCCTTTTTAAAACAGAAAATAATTGCTTTTTCTCCTTCTCCTCATTCTTTTTACCCAACTCCTTCTTCTCTGTCAAGGTCTTACTATGCATTTCTGGCTGGCCCGGAACTTTCTGTGTAGGCCTGGCTGACCTCATGGAGATCCATCCACCTCTGCCTCCTGAGTTGTGCTATTAAAGACAGGTGTCACAGCCCCGCCCTCCCACTTGCTTTTCTTTATCAAAGTAAGAGTTCTTCTTTTCATAGGGACAGACTTACAACTGCGTTTTCTAATTGTTCTCCTGCATGGATGACGCACAAGAATGAAGGCACCACTTACTCCTTGTTTTTGTTCTCATTGATGTGCTCTCCTATATTCCGAATGAACTTCAGTAGATCGCCTACAGTATTCCGATAAGGATTTTTCTTATCTTGATAGAAATAATCCATTCTGTCCATAACATGTTGGTCAATCTAAAAAACAAAACATTACCCCCAAGGTATGATAACAAGAAAAAACAAAACCTGATAGTGTCTAAATAACAAAAGGTCAAGTACAAATTTGAATGAATGCCCTCTACCAGTGAACGAAGCAAATAGAACAAATGAAAGTACATGACACCCACCACCCACTGTGCCATGCGGGGCAGCTATGTCGTGTTTGAAGGAGGCACTATAAGTGACTGATTTCATTTTTGTCTGTACTGGCCAGTTCCCAAGAAATTATGCCTACTAAAGCCCTCTGTGGAAGTACTGACAAGCCTAGCCACTGTGGAAATCAGTACTGAGAATTCTCAAAAACCTAGAACTACACCCTACCAAAAGAGGAGCTACAGCTCTGCTGGGTATTCATCCAAAGGACTCTCAGTCAGCATATCACAGAGATATCACAGAACTGCTCACAGTAGCCAAGGTGTGGAGCCAACTTAGGGGTCCCTCAGTGGCAGAATGTTACAGAAAATGTGGTTTATGTGCACAATGGAATTTTTTTCAAC